ATGGTGTCCCTGGGCGTGCTGCCGTCGGTCGAGGCCATGGAGCAGTGGACCGAGATTGAGGCGGCGCGGGCTTGGGCAGGGCTGGAGCTGGGCGCACTCAAGAGCGTCTTGACGAAGCTCGGGGACCCTGACCTCACCTCGATGCCAATCTTGGCGTCGCTTCCGCCGTCAGCGGTGCGGTCTGCCGTCGCGAAGGCCCGCGTCGACAGGGAAGGCAGGGAGGCTGGCGAACGCCTCACGGCCATCCAGAAGGGCCGCCTCAACCTCCTCTACAACGCCCTCCGCCGGAAGTTTGGGTTGCACCTTAAGCCGGTCGATCAAGAGCCGCCTCAACCGCAGGCGGCGGCAGCGGCAACCCCGGGTTCGGCGGCGGCGCCGCACGCCGCTAATTTGGTGAACCTGTCCGCGGTCCTCGACCAGGACCCGAAGGGCGAGGTGGAGCTTTACAGCCACGCCCAACTACAGAAGATCCGGAACAATTACATAGTCGTGATGCGGGATGAGCCCATGGGTCGCCACAACTACACCGACGAGCAGATATCGGCGTTGGGCCGGCGGCTGGAGGCCGGCTTCGTGCCGTTTGCGGACTTCGGCGTGTGGGGGCCGAACGGCAACCGCTTCCAGCGCCACATGAAATTCAAGGCGAGCTTCATGGACGCCTCTGGCCAGTGGCGGACGCAGGAAATCCCCGGGCCAGATTCCCTGGAGATCTGGGAGGACTCGTACGAGGTCTACAAAGCAGCTGCTCTGTCATTGGGGGCCTTCCAGCAGGCCACCTTGACTTTGTACGCGGCTGAGTTCCGCCAGCGCGTCCTCGACAATCCGGGGTGCTGGCACTTGACACTGGCTGCGGATTTTCTGGCGCGGTCGGAGCAGCTTGCGAACGAGCGCCGGCGACTGGAGCGTTTCCACGAGAAGTCGCCCACCTTGTCCAGTTGGAACCCCAAGATGCCATGGGACGCTGCGCTGAGGGCTGTGTCCCAGGACAACACCTTTTGGTACAAGCATTTGGAGAAGCCATGCGACAAGGCTGCCCGGGACGGTTCGGCAACGGTGCCCGTTCAGCGGACGGCCTACACCCAGGTGCCGCCCTTCACGGCGGCGCCGCAGCAGGGCAGCAACAAGAAGAAGGGCGACGGCAGGGGTAAAGCCAACGACAGGAAGGACACCAAGGGCATTGATCCACGTGGCAAGGGACCCAATGCTCAACGAGCCGATGGGCGCTATTACCGGTCAGTGGACAATGTGGAAATATGCTACGCTTGGGCCCAGCACGAGGAGGGTTGCTCCAGCAAGGCGTGCCCACTGGGGCGGGCGCACGCGTGCGAGTTCTGCCGCACGCCCCACCGCACCATCCGCTGTGAGAAGCATCCAGGGTGGACGCCGCCGGCGGCCAGCCGGGGGGCCAAGAGGCGCAAGAAGTGAGATGGTTCGGCGCCCGCGCCGGGCCCCGCTCCGGAGGGGCTTGCGCCGGGGCCCCGGGCGCCCGAAACGGCGCCCACAGTGCTTTTACAAGCACGGCCACTTCAAGATGATGATTCGGGCTCACGCGCCCCATCTGCGCGCGTGACGCCTGGCGGAGGCTCGCCGTTCGCAGCCGCGCCCGGCGGACAGCGCAGACTGGCACATCGAGCTCGTTGGGGCGAGCGGGTGAGTGCCCGCACCCGGGGGCGATCCAGGGCCCCGAGCATAGGTTCGATCCGTTCGCGGAGGCGGCCTCCGGGGCCGCGCGAGAGGCCCAAGTTCCTGGAGCTCGTTGGGCGCGGCGGCGGGCTCACGGCGGCTGTGGCGCGGCTGCATCTTGATCACTTCACGGCGCGGTGCCTCGAGGCCGCGGCGGGCCTCCGCGACCAGGTTCTGGACCTTCTGAATCACGATCATTATCGTCGGGTTCTCAGCCTGATTCGGCAGCGGCGAGTGCGATGGCTCCACGTGGCACCGCGCTGCGCGGATTTCTCGAAGGCGCGGAGAACCGGCAGGCGCGCCCGCCCCGCCAGCGGCACCCCAAAGCCGCAGCACGTGCTCGACAGCAACACCTTGGTTGCCAGGGCGGCGAGGCTGTGTCGTGCCCAGGCCAAGGCTGGCGGGTGGTTCTCCTTTGAGAATCCAGAAGCCTCGTGCGCTTGGCAGTACGGGCCCGTCGCCTCCCTGCTGCGCATTGCCGGTGCCGTGCGGGTGGTGTGCGACCAGTGCATGTTCGGCTGCCCGTACAGGAAGCCGACGGGCTGGCTGACGAACGCCCCCTTCCTTGGCGCTCTCGCCGAGAGGTGCCCAGGGCCCCCGGTGCACGTGCACCCCAGCCTCGGCGGGAGGTGCATTGGGCCTGCGGACGGATCCGCGTGGAAGACTCAACTGGCGGCGTCTTATCCGGAAGGGCTCTGCAGCGCACTGGCATTTGCGTACAGGGCCGAACTCAGCAAGCAGCCGGACCTGGCCGCGAAGCAGCCCACCACCTACGACGTCTTCGCTGGGCAGGAGGACGCCGCGCAGCAGGAGACAGCCAGACAGCGGCGGGAGAGAGAGGCATCTTCGTGCATCGGGGGAAGCTGCCCGGCTGGGGAAGCTGCTCCGCAACCCGCACAGAGGCGTAGGGGAAGTTGCCCGGCTGGGCGGCGCTCGGCGCTCAGATCGCCGCTGCCCTCGAAGACGTCGCCGGCGGATTGTGCGACGCCTTCGACCGGGTGGTCGAGGAGCTGGGCCGCCCAGAGGCGACAGACAGGCCTCGCTCCTGCTGCCTTGCGGAGCGGGCAGGCGGCCCTTGCGGCCCGCCTGGGGGCGAGGCACCACGACCGCGAGGGCCCCCAGGGAGAGATGCTGGAGGACATTCTGGCTGCGGCGGGGGATCCGGAGACGCAAATTCCTCAGTGGTTGCAGCGCTACGCCCCGCTCGGGATCGAGGTGCCGATTCTGCCCTCTGGCGTTTTCCCGGAGACCGAGCCCACCTCTGCGGGGCCGGCCAGGGAGAAGCTCGACGCCCTCTTCCAGCACTGCGTGGACCGGGGCGACCCGGTAAACTACAGAAGCTACGAGGAGAACAGGGAGGAGGCCGACGCCGTGTTCCAGAAGGAGCTGGACAAAGGGTACGCCACGTGGCGCCAAGACCGGGGCGCCTTGGAGGCGATTCGCGGCCCGCTCACCTTGCCCCGCATCGGCGCCGTCATCACCGCGAAGGCCGGGGCAAGAAAGTGCCGTCTGATCCACGACCTGAGGCGGAGCAGAGTCAATTCGAAGATCCTTCTCCGCGAGCGCTTGGTTCTGCCACGGCTCCACGACGTCATTCAGGATACCTTGGACACGTTCGCGCGCGTCCAGGACCCACACCAGGTGTACTACCTGGTCGCTGATTTTCAGGACGCTTTCAAGCTCTTGAGAACGGACCCAAGGGAAAAGAAGCATTTGGCAGGCTACGCTCGCGGGGGATATTTTGTGCATGACACGGTGTTCTTTGGAGTTGGCACCGGGCCGCTGGTCTGGGGCCGCGTCGCGGCAGCGCTGATGCGCCTCACGCAGGCGACGCTCAGCGAGAAGGAGGGCCGCATTCAGTGTTTTGTGGACGACCCTATATTGACTATGTCTGGCTCGCTGCGCACAGCGCGGAGAGAATTCGCTAAGATACTTGTGCCGTGGCAGCTCCTCGGCGTCAGGGCCTCCTGGAAGAAGGTCAGCTTTGGCACTTCAGTTTCGTGGATTGGCGCCACGATCCAGGCCGACACGGCCGTGCGCCGCGTGAGCGTGTCGCTGCCTGAGGAGAAGTTGGAGCTGGTCAGGGGCACGTGCACCGACCTGCTGGAGGAGCGGAAGCCAGTGCTCCCCGTCGCCAAGGTGAGGCAGCTGGCCGGCCGCGGAGGCTGGATCGGCGGCCTGCTTCCCCAGGTCCGACCGTTTGTCCAGCATCTCTGGGGAGCTCTATCCAAGGCTCGGAAGGGCAACCCGCCCGTCCTCTTCCGCAAGCAGGTGGAGCCGGCATTGCGATGGCTGGTCGCCTTCGCAACGGACGCGCCTTCACATCTGACGCGCCATGTTTACCTCGTCGACAGACTCTACGACGGCTTGTACGTTGAAACTGACGCTTCGCCTTGGGGCGGCGGCGGGTGCTGCTGGGCATCGCCGGCGGCCCGCCGAGCTGGCGAAGCGCCGCGCGCGTACTTTGCTGCGACATGGGACCACACGCACGAGGAGCTCCTGCGCACGCAGGTCGGCAGCCCGGCTGGCCAGGCGTCGTGGGAAGCATTTGCGATGTTCCTCGCAGCAAGGCTGTGGATCTCACCACAGGTCCGGGGACGCATCACCTTTGCGGGTGACGCGCAAGGCGTCCTGGCAGCACTGGTCCAGCTACGTGGAGATTCGGCCATCATTAACGATGTGGCCAAGGAGCTCGCCCTCCACCTGGCCCCCTTGGGCCATGCTCTCGAGGGCCTCCACATCTGCGCGGAGCAGAACAAGCTCGCGGACGCGCTGAGCCAGGTCTCCTCCGGCGTCCACTTCCCCCGCTTCCTCGCCGGGGCGGAGCAGGCCACGCTCCCGCAGGTGGAGGACCTGGGTCTGCGAGTGCTGCAGGCCAAGATTTCAGGCCGAGGGCGCGCCTGTACGCACTGTGTCAGCCGCTGAGCGTCCATGACGCGCTGCGTCAGCGCTGCTGAGCGTACTGTGTGTCCTTCATTGAGAGGAAAATATGCCCGCACATGTGTCCACTTGCACGTCCTCTCGTGCGCGTGGTGTGTGTGTGTGATGTTCCAAAAGCGCCCCGCCGAGAGCTTCCGGGGTTGCGCCCGAGTCTGGGGCAGACGCCCTCCCTGGAGGTTCGCGGTCTGAACCTGGGCGCGGGCCCCACGCTCGTGCGAAGCTCCTGGGGTCGAAAGTGTGTACGCATACTTGTGTGTACATTCATTTTAGGAATAACTGCCCAAATTTCCGCCCCTGGGGAGGGGCGGAAATTGGGGCGGTTATTCGTCAGGCGAATTCGCACGTGGTGCGATTTGTTTTCTCCGAGAAGCATGCGCAAGTGCTTTGTGGCGCAGGACGAGGGGCGGGCGGACCAACTTCGCCACCCCTTCTCTCCTCCTCTCCTGCTGCTGCTTCCTCCCCCCTTTCCTCTTCCCTCCCTTCCCTCCCCATCCGTCCTCCCTCCTCTCCCCCCCTTTGCCCTCCGGGCCCCCCCTCTTCTGGCCCCCCCCGCTGCACCGTCCCCGTGACGCGGGCCGGCCGTCTTGGCGTCACGGTTTCCGACCGTCGGCTCCAGTGGCGGGTGGGTGGGGGGCGGATGGTGTGGAAGAGTCGGAGGAGTTGTTTTGTGTTCCTTTTCAGGTGTTCCTGGCAGGACATATTTCGTGTTGCTCGGTTCAAGGCTCGAGGGCGCGCCCTTGGCGGTCTTCGACGCGGATGGCGTGCTGGCCGGGCGGCTCCCTGGATGCCAAGGTGGTGGCGCCCAGGACGACGGCGCCGCCGGCGCAGCCCGCCACGTCATGGGACGCCCCTCTCCCCGCCCCCTCCGCCAGTGCTGGCCGCAGTGCGGGGGTGCGGCAAGGTGTCCACCCCAGGCGGAGGGCGCCGGAGCCTGCGCTGCATGGCTTGTCGCTGGCGACTGCGGAGCAGGGCATGGCGTTGATCGATTCTGGACGCGGGCGTGGAAGTATCCCTGGACGCAGTTCGACTTTTGGAGTTTGCCCGAGTGCGAGCACGGTCGCGTCCCCAGCCGGCCCGGTGGAGGGAACATCTTCTCAGGCAGTACGGCCGCCAGCTCATGACGAAGTACTTGTGCCCTCGGCATCTTCTGGGAGTTGCGGGCCGCCGAGGCCAGGGGCGCCGTGCAGGAGGCCGTGTACCAGGGGCTCCCCTCAGAAAGTTATGGCTTTGGAGCGCCAGCCTGCCGATCTGCATTCCGCGATTTCGGCTTACGAGGGGGACAAGTACGCGGATTCGACGACAGCTTCGAGAGAGGCTCGTCTTCGGTGGTGGCGGAGGCGTGCATGGGCCAAGGAGGTGGAGCCGTACCCGCTCTCTGTTGCGTTATTGGGGTACGCCGCAGCGCTTTTGAAGGCCGCTGGCTACCGCAGCGCGGTCACGTACCTTCAGACGATGAAGCAGGAACACGTTCGCTTGGGGCACGCGTGGGCGGACCAACTCAGCTTGGAAATGGCCGCTGCCAAACGCAGTTGTGAACGGGGCTTGGGGCCGCCCAGACAAGCTCCCTTCGTGGACCTCGACAAGGTCGCGGCGTCGGAGACAGCGGTGGCCGCGCCATGTGGCCCTCAAGGCTCGGAGGAACCTCTCGAGCCATATCTGGCTTTCGCTGTCCTCACCTTCTGGCTTATTCGTGAGATCGAAGGCTCTACGGCGAAGCTCGGTGCCGCATCGTTTGCTCATGGCCCTCACGGCTGCTGCGGGACAGCAACGTTCGACCTGCCAGTTTCGAAGAGCGACCAGAGCGCGCTGGGGAAACAGCGCACGCACGGGTGCGCTTGCCCAGCGGCATGCCCAGTGCTGCATTTGCGGCGTGCTGTGGCTGCGGCGGCGACTGCTGGGTCCGCACGGGCCGAGGGTGCCCGATGCGATTGGCCATTGTTCCCCACGGCTGGCGGCGCCCATCCTTCCAAGGCGGGCATGGTTCGGGCGTTTACCAGGGTCGTCGGCGCTGCCGGGCTGGAGGTGGTCCCCACGGGCCACTCCCCGCGGGTTTCTGGCGCTGTCAGGATGGCCATGTCTGGGATGGAGATATGGAAGATCCAGGTTTTCGGCCGGTGGGGTTCCTCTGCTATACTGTCGTACATACGGGAGAGCCCCTTGGCAGCCTCAGCTGCTTGGGCCCGGCAGACGGCAGAAGGCTTGGAGCTGAAAGAGGCGGCGCAGGAAATTCAGGCCAAACGCAAAGTACCGGCCATGTCTGAGGAGCAGGAACGCGCTGTCGCGGGTGCTGTGCGAGCTGCATTAGAGGAGAGGGCGGCGTCCACTTCGACAGCCGTGGCCACCCTGCAGGAGGAGCACAGCCGCCTGTCGTCGAGAGTGGACGAGATACTGAAGGAGCACACGGCGAAGCTGGCCGGCGGCATCGCGTTCATCAAGTGCACGACCAAGCGTGGCGGCCGCCGAGAGGGACAGGTGCACTTGGCCTCGGATCCCTGCGTTGCCTTCTGCGGCTGGTGGCACCGAGGCAACGGCCAAGCTCGACTGATGAGCTGCTCTGAGGAGCCAGGCGATCTGTGCAAACATTGCGTGAAACGGGCGCCCCCTTCGGCGGAGGTGGCGGCATGGGGCCGGAGCGATGGGTTGCTCCCCTCCGGCCGCCTCGTGTCCGCCCAGAGAGATGGGCTAGGACGGTCCCCCTCTAGATGGGGTGATGACCAGGAGGTTGGTGCCGCGCCAGCGGTGCTCTGTCGCCAACGAAGGGATGGGCGGTGTGGCCCGATGGAAAAATAGCGCTGCGATGTTGTCGTAGAAAACAGCATGTTTGAAGGGACAACGGA